TGAAGCACGTTCAGGACAACTGAAGGAAGATGTGTAAATAATGTATTTAATGTATGGCTTTCATATTTTTCCAAAGTACTCTGTAATTTAGAATTAAACAATAAATTGGTTTGCCACAACTAAGTTCTCGTTTAGTACACTATTACCACCACTAATACTACTGATAATAATATTAGTGATAGTGATTAATACTGTATTTTAGTTTTCATCATCTATATTGAATAACTTGTAAATTGAGTAGATAATATGCACTTTTAAATACTTAGACAAATCTTTTTTTTTCAAATCGTTATTTGTCTATATGAGTCTATTGATCAATCGTTTTTTTTACTATGAAAACATTGATAAATATTTGTATTATGATTGACATGGATGTTGATATGTTTATCGGGTTTTCCGTTCTTTTGCATACTATTATTATTATTATTATTATTATCACTATCAAAGATCCACCAACTGACTGAATAACAGTAATAAGAATATAATGTTTATTTTGTAAATAATATAAACTTATGTTACTTTTGTAATACTAGATAAAGTCAATCATTCTAATAATATAAACCAACCTTTCAAAATTATTATTATTATGACAATGGTGATAACATGGCATATTAAATTGTATACAACAAACAAAGTCTGATGATTATTTACACATTAGTGTTGTTTTATTAAATCATTTCCAAACATCATTTTAAATAGTAAATAATATTGATAGAAGAAAAAAAATAGTAAATAAAAAAGAAATGAGTCCTATTCCTTAAAAAAAAACAAAATAAACTTTGATACGGTTGAATAATTCAGTTGACTTCAATCAATATTAAGTAGTATTGTGTCAATCAATCCATGTAAGCTTAGATCGAGTATATATATATATATATATATATATATATATATATATATATATATATATATATATATATATATATATATATATATATATATATATATATATATATATATATATATACATTCTATTGAAGGAAACTATGTAAATTTTAAATACTTTAGTGATTGTAATGGAAGAAAAAAAAACTCAGCTATACGGGTTAATTCAGTGTTAATTCCATTATTAACCGTGGATAGAATGATACAAATTATGATTGTGTGGTTTTTACTTGTGTAAATTCTTTAAAGTTATGTATCAGATATTCTATTTAACCAGTATACATATTCATAAATGATTCATAATAATTGTTACCATTAATAATAATAAAAAAAGTGTTCTTTAAGTGAAATTAGAAATAAAACTGTCATAAAAAGTGATCGATGTATAGACGAAGATAATGTATGTTATGTGATTGTATTAAATCAATATGAAGTTATAAATATAGATGTTGACATTTATCGATGTAATAAATTTACCAGATTGAAATCATGAGTCGATTGAAGCTAGACCACCATGGAAAACTTGAAGGCACTGGACGGCCGTTTCGTCCTAGTGTGGGACTCCTCAGCAGTGCGCATCCACGATCCTGCACCACGCGGGGCTCGAACCCATGACCTACTGGCTTCGCGCGCGAGCACTTAACCACTAGACCACTGAACCGCCACCCGACGGTGTTAATGTCTAACTTCAACCAATCCACGAAGTGGTCTAGTGGTTAAGTGCTCGCGCGTGAAGCCAGTAGGTCCTGGGTTCGAGCCCCGCGTGGTGCAGGATCGTGGATGCGCACTGCTGAGGAGTCCCATGCTGGGACGAAACGGCCGTCCAGTGCTTCCAGGTTTTCCATGGTGGTCTAGCTTCAATCGACTCATGATTTCAACCTGTGAAATTTCTAAAACTCTCCACAAAACCCATTCTGGTAATAAATTTAATCTTGAATATAATTTATACTTCCTATGAGATTTGAACCTACATTACCTAGTATAATAGTTAGAGATGTTATTTATTGAACTCTTTGATCTTGTAAGATTAAAATGTTTGTATTAATTAATCACTGTGGATATAACAAACTTCATTCTTATTTACGTTATATTTACAGTTGGTGAAACAAGATAAACATATACTTCAAGTATCTATTTCGTAGATTAGCTGTAGACAATACACAAGTGTCTTATGTTTACTGGAGGTTAATGTATGGCTAAATATGTAATTAGTAAACCCTTCTTTTTAAGATATCAGGTAATTTAACTTAAAATCTTACTGGGGGATAGGAAATACATCTTACTGATAAGTTTCACGTTCAATAAGATTCGATAACTATTCAAAACTAGGTAAGTATCACCTTGGTAACCATACAGTGATTAATCAGTATAGTTGATTCTTCGTATAAATAACTTTAAAATAATCATTAAACAACATATTTAAAAGTAAGGAATTTAGATTATTAGATTTTATTGAATAACGGTTTAGTTTAAAACATTTGATATCATTTAAAGAGAAGTAATGAAAATTCACGATGTAAATATTATTATTTTTCGTTTTGCTTTAAACTTCTACAGTTTTAATACCACAAACCTACAATGTATGAGAATTTAAGAGTGATCATTATCATTTAACAGTAATATGGTAAATTATTCATACTTTATTACAGAAAGTGCATTCCAATGACTTCTTGTGAATAGTTTATTAGTAAAACATACACCGAGTGACTTGAATGGTACTTTCAATGTACGACGTGACTCTGACTTAGACAACAAATCTTATGAACATTTTCTTCATAGAAAAAAAAGGTTCTGTAATCTTTAAAGAAGCACAACTTCACATAATAACTCGCAATAACTAACTTTAGATTTATCAATAACTTATACTTTCAACTATATGATTAGTAATCTATCGAAAAAAAGTGTTAAATGCCAAATAAACTAAATCTTGAGTTACTCAATGTCACAACAACAATATGAATAAATATAAACTTTGGATAGTTGAAGGTAGTTGACTGAAGGAAAAAAGAGTTCATATTTGAAAAAAACATTAATAACTGGAATTGAATAGAAACAGGAAGGGAGTATTTAATGTCATAGTGTTGCCATAACTACAAGATTAAAAAACCCTGGCGAAATTATGAAGCTAGAAAGTAGGACTTTGTTTATTTGTATCTAGCAAGTATACATGCACGAGTTGTGTGTGTTTATAGGGAGAAGGTCTGTTATCATATTACTGAACATTTTAGTTATCATGAGCGTTTATAATAAGTTATTCTATATTAAATTATTTATTTTAATTCTGTAATAACAGAATGTAACGGTTGTGACAAGATGACCTGCTATATAATGACCTCATGTTCCAAATTACGAGTGTTTAACATTTAATTTCTAACTGATGAACAACGTCTCAATAAGATCTAGACAGTATATTTGGTTATTGAAATACAGAATAATATGATTGTGTTCTGTATTATTTTAAACAGATGATCAGCGATAATAAATCGATGGAAATTCTCATAACTACACTTTGTTATAAATGATGTTAGATCGTACGTAATCCACAGCTGCGGTAATAAAATTCACAAATTTATGTATGCATAATAAGGTATGTAGTAAAACTGTAAAAATGGTAACGAGTAAGTTGATGAGTATAATGACAATGTTTTCTATTATGTAAGTTTTAATAGTATCCAGTATTAATGATAATGATTGCAGTTTTAATCTTATTTTGTAAATATCCCAATCTTCAATGGGAAATATATTGAACGACATAAAGAATAAACTTTATCGACAAGTGTTGAATAGCACGAAAACTAGGCTAGGAACTTCCTTACCACTCAACATTACATGAAGTCAGCCTTGTGATCATATGGTAAATAAATCGATAAAAGTCGATCAACATTAAGCGTCAGACAAATGTAACATTACTAATCGGAGATCAACTATTTGTAAATATTTCTATCTAACAGTTATAGCCCAATCAGCTAAATACTGACAACTATGAAGATGATATTGAGTAGAGTGGCTTCGTATCTCATGAGAAGTTTCATTTCTTCTCATATGATTGAAGATACATTTGCCGATGATCGTAAACTGGCAGAAAACTTAGGTCTAGGAGTTTCTTTTGTTTAATTTCAATTATCGCTTATTAATACTGAATACGGAAACACCATCTACAGTATAAACTGTATAACAAGAGGAAATAACTTCATTTATTCCTTTAACAACGGTATTCTATTTTCCGGTCAAACACATACTTTACAGTTTATATGAAGTGAAATTCAGATTTTAGTAAGTTACTGAGATGAATTCTTAATTTTCATGAACAATCAATAAGAAAAGCTTTTTTTTATTGGTTTCAGTGACAATTTATGATTTCCATATTGTCTCGTAGTTGATACTGAACAAGATTTCAGTTGTTATACAGTTTTTTCCAAACAGAAGTTAAAAACTCAAAAAAAACAGTTATGTCTTTATAGTGGCACTCGATGGCCTAAGGACACAATAAAGAAAACTAAACATGACAGCAGTCAATCAGATGAAAGTAAAGGTCATTGTGGGAATATGAGAGGGTGGAGAAGGGTTGTTGCTCAGGTGGATGATTTTGATAAAGTTTTGTTCTCTGAGCCTCAGGTACCTGAAGTTTGTGCTGATGATGTCGTTCAGAATAACGACGAAAGCTCTACGCCCAAGCCATCCAGCTCACAGAACAAAACTCTATCAATATTGTGGGAATATGAATCGGGAAATTGTATCGAGGTTAATTAACACGTAGTAACGGAACACTAGATAAACTGAACTCCTTTTGGCGCTATCATCAAGTTTCTTAACATCAAATCAATCCTATTGTATTGGTTTAGTAAAAAAATTATTGGTTAAATGAAAAGAATAACTAAGCAATCCTAATTTTAAAAAAGTATAAAATGGGTCAGTTTTGTTTCATATTGTATCGCCGTAACTTATGCAGTTAACATTCTTAGATTGTGCCATATCTGCCAAAATGTGAGCGTGTAATCTCTGCATACTGAATGATCCACTTGTTAAGAATAAAATATATATCTTCTTTTCATGTAAAATATTATTCACTAGTAATATATTATTGAGTAAACAAATAATCTGATGCAGTTAGATTAATGCATCGCTATTATGCATTATTTCATCTTCTATACTTCCTAATATACTTGGAAGATATTCGAGAAATCCATACTACTACTACTACTACTACTACTACTACTACTACTACTACTACTACTACTACTCCGACTTCTATTGCGACTAATAATGATGAAGCTTACCACAATTTCCTACTGAAAATTACTTTTCAAATGTATGAAATAAATAATTGTTAAGTTGTGCAGTATGTGTATAATAATCTAGTCAAAAAGTGACTTGAAAAATAGAGATTTAAGGAAATTTATTTTGATATCATTCAATAGAATATTCATCAGTGTATGTAGTTACAGTTGGCTTATATATTATGTCATTATAATGTTAAGGTAATATAACTATGTTTCTGTAAAAATATAGATTATGTAATGATGAACTTCAGAGAGTTGAATATGAATATAGTGGACTGTATGACGTAAGTCAAGTAAAATACTTCATGGACCCCTTTAATTAGTTCCATCGAGTTCGGCTTTTAGTGGGAGTGGGGTGGAGAATAGATAATAAAATCATGGAGTTCATGTTAGAATGGATTGGTTAACAATAGACCTGGTAGAACTATTATCCCATGTGTAGTTCAAATCTTTACGATATTGTAAAAGCAAATGGTTTTATGGACTCAGTAGCTGAGTGGATAATGCGGTGGCATCTGAAGCGAGTGGTATTGGTCTCGAACCCCGGGGCGGACATCAACTCGGATGCAGGTATATTCCGCTGACGAGTCTCAAGTAGGACGAAACACGGCATGGACACCACTACTAGATATATCCCATCTATTATATGTGATATTGGTCGGTTTTCAGTAATTAATCATTGGAACAATGTTATCAGTCTATATGGACAAGGAATATTGTTCTACTTTTCTATGTGAAGATGGTTATTAATCTAACTGTAATTTATAGCAGTATATTCGATCCCCCTCAGATTATTAGAACCAAATCAGATAAAGTGTTCAAAACTTTTGATTATGATTTATCTATCTTTTAATAACTTAGTATTATTTTGATTTAAAAATGCCGTGAATTTTCTTGGAAGTACAATAGGGTGGTGACGATAATTATAATCGATTGTCTTAAACCATTCTCTTACCCCTTTCTTTGTGCAGAAATGAAAGATACACAAGGAAATGACTATTTTCAATGACTGATGTTGAAATCAAATATGGACAGTGTCTAGCAGCAGAATCCAGGATGTGTGGTTCGTCCTATTTGGAACTCGTCAGCTGGATGTGCCTGCATTTCAGAGTTGATGTTCAACCTTGGACTTGTGAATTAAAATAATATTGAGGCAATACGCAGACTGTGCACATATGCCAACAAGATACTGATCAACTGAAGTCCTAAACATCAATGGAATAACTCAAGTAAACAACACTTTACGTAGAATTGAACCACTTCATTATTTCACACAAGATAAATCATTCTATTCCAATGACATTGTCTAAAAATTCTAGTTTCGGAGCCTGTGTCAGCTTTATTACATTTCTGTTGACTATCCTGTTTTATTAGCCTCTAACCATCGAATTGGTTGACTGTTCATGTGCGGATTAGTAAATAAAGTTCATATTGATATACCTATTATTGTGGATTAATCAGATCTTCATGTTGTTTTTTTCAAAAATTTTCTGATATGCTTTACATGACCCCATCTGCAATTTTAACATTTTTCTATTCAAATCTGTATCAATGCTTATCTGTATTTATTGGTAGGACTGATAACGTCTCATGTTGTTGGTTTTATTTTCCAGCTTGCCGATACACTGCCATCACATACTTTCCCAAGAAAAGAATTCATTATCAAAGTGATCTTCAACGAAATTTTATTACTGTTCAATATGCAATAAAATGTTTCGTTTACTATCTACAGAGTTTCGTCAGTTGTTAAAATTATGAGCATATCCTTGACTTTGATCTTATCAAGAATTAATTTTTCACATGATGATTACATATCATATATATAGCATTTGCATTAGTTGTTTGAATATTTCGACTGATGTTCAGGACTGCAATTAATCAGTCCATTTTTCCGCAAATATGCATCCTGTGCGGATCGCCTCGATACTGCCAGTAAGACACAAGGATTCTAAGTAGAGATGGCTGGTGGCTAGCAGTGGAATCATGGATGCGCATTCGAAGCGGACGGTTCTGAGTTTGATTCCAGAATTGAGAACTACCTACGGGATGCTGACGAGTCTTGAATAGGACGAAAGGTATGTCCTAGTTTTTCCTGCTAGCCACCATCCACATCTTATGTTGCCTAAAGATTTTAAGCACTCCAAGTCTATCTTGTATGGATAAGTGCATAGGAAGTGCTAAATAGTCCCGGACTGTATTAAAATAAATGTTCGAACGTACCTGGTTATTAGTGAATTCTCCAGCTTTAGTCTTCCTGTGACGAAAACTATCGTGAAACTCAAGGTATTTCTCAGCAACTCTAACAATTTTCATGTTAAGTAATTAATTGTAGGTCAGCTTTTGGTGTTAATAAAGCTTTCAGAATATGACATTTAAAATATTAGATTAAAATGCATTTCATACAACAAGATGAGCGTAATCTAACAGAACTTATTCTGTTTTCATACGTAGTTAGTAGGTTAATCTAGATTTAAACATTCTTTTTTTTCTTCTCAAATTATATTTAGTGTTGCTCAATTCATTTAAGGAATAAACTCCATTTTCTTTAATTGGCTCTAATAAATTATTCATTAATTATGTATATTTGTTGATTTTGCTTAAGATCTATTGGCATACAATGTATTATCGAATTAGTTTACATGTAGGCATATACACATGCACACACATACACACAAACAAATACGAAATATAAACTTATTTGTCTATTATCAGAAGGGGTTTGTGGAGATTTTAGAAATTTTCACAGATTTAAATCATGAGTCAGTTGAAGCTAGACCACCATTGAAAACCTGGAAGCACTGGACGGCCGTTTCGTCCTAGTATGGGACTCCTCAGCAGTGCGCATCCACGATCCCGCACCACGCGGGGCTCGAACCCAGGACCTACTGGCTTCGCGCGCGAGCACTTAACCATTAGACCACTGAGCCGGCATCCAACGGTGTTAATGTCTAACTTCAACCAATCCACGAAGTTGTCTATTGTAAATGAACTAATTTCTAACTTTGTTTTACGTATGTTTTATATCTAGGTTACTGTTGGCCAGTAAACAAATTTCTTAGCTTCCTGTTAACAATATAAAGAGAATTGCAAGTTATTTTTAATCAACATTCATTGATTATCATTAGGGCTATGAATTCAGTTGTGCGTTTTAATTCAAAATAACTTCTAAGCAATAATTTTTATGTTTAAGTTTACCAAAACCACAGACAATGAAGATCTATTTACATAATTTTATATCTAAATTCATTGGAATAAATATTTGAATCAATTAGAATAGTTGAAATGGAAGATAGTCGTTTTTTTTACTTCTTTAAACTGATGAATCCTTGCATAAATTTCAGATTCAAGGTACCAATTCGCTTATCTTGAAATTTAAATGGGCTCTGATGTATTGGTATCTGACGAAACTTCAACTAAGAATTAGAATGTCTAACTAGCTTTGGCCAACTTGAGTCACTTGTGGCGTAGGTAAGTTGTCTGGGTATCAAATACAGGACGAGTATACTGTTCAGTAGTTCGTTCTGTTCTACTTAAAGGCTGTGAAACGTAACATGAAAAAATAGTGAATATTTGCGGGTTACTGGTGTTTAATCATAGATGTCCTCGAATCATTGATAGAGCTTTCTCGGGACCAAGCTAACAATAGTTATATTAAATGTATGGTAGCAGGTAAAGGTTGAAGATTGGTTGATGAGGTCTGAAGAATTGGCTTACATTAAGTCATGAAAAGTCAAAAATACAATTTTTTCTACTCAGTGGGATATAACAAAAATATATTTATTATGAAATCACTACCCAATGCTTAATTTATTCGAAACTATCAAGTCCAACCTATAGATAATCCTGGTAGATGTATTTTTTTGGGAATTACTTTTCAATCTAATTTCTTAATCTACATGGAAAATCGTTTCTCTTTTGCCAACGAAATCACAACAATCATCACTGTTGTTGATGTATTTGAATTGTTTTATTTGATAAGTTAACTTTATTATAGACATTTTATTTCAAACTAAATGACTTATGAGAATGATTGTTTAGCTGGTTTAATTCTATTCATTAACTTACTAAAGTATCATAGTTCGTAGTAGTAGTAGTAGTAGTCTCTCATCAGGATGGTCATACCCTTTCCTGAGCCCTTCGTCATGAACGATTGCAGACTCCAATGAAACTAATCTTTATTATCGTCGTTGCTATCATTGGTGGGTGCATAACATTGGATAACGTTCATTGTGATTCGCTATTTCTTTGCTTTGAAAGATGCTTCGATGATCCTGGACCCATGGGATTCCTATTCTACGAGTGCTTTACGTGCTTCTTTTGATAGAATCAAAGCAACTCCCTGAGTGTGTGGAGCATTTTCTTTTTCGTGACCGGAGTACAGCAGCATCTCTCCCTAGTCCGTTCTTTTTTGCCCAGCCTGAGTCCAATGGTTTTCACTTATTCCGAGAGCCACCAAATTGTGTTTCCTTATTCCCGTAGCTTTTTTGGTCTTCCTTCAGGAGGGGCATTAGCGTCGTCACTTCTGAAGGATATCGGGTTTCACCATAAGGCGTCGTAATTCTTCTAAGTGAAGATCCTTCAACACGGAGGGCGGAGCGTAAATGGTTTGAACTTTTTATTTTGATTACCATTTTTTCACAAGGTTGATTTTTACGGCATGAGATTACTGACCCCATACCCAACTCTCCACCTTTATCCGTGCTTCGGACCGGTAGTAACACTAGAAGGGCTACAGGCGGAGTTTGAATAAACATAGTGGATGTAAGTACATCTGTGAGTAGCAAAACCGACTTTATTCAGTGACAAGTAGGTTTTTGTTGAGTTGGTAAAACTCTCGCTCCTACTTAAAACAGGCTCTGTTGTTGTTGAAAACAAAAATGAAAACTTTGTCGTTGAACCATTTATCCCAGAGAATAAATCATCACTATCCATAATAGCTACATTTCAATATGTATACTTAATTGTCTGGACAAGTGTTTGACCTAAATAATTTTTAATAATTGAATTTAGTGTTATTACTGAATTCTTTAAAGATACACTGATCAATAATT